AATGACAGAATGGTAAATTGGACTCTCGCGCACCTCTGACCGGAGGAGGGACATAAGTATTATGCACCTTCCCCGGTGGTCGTGGTAGAAACCGAGGGAATCAGTCGGGGCACCGCCGTGACCATTTCCAGCCACGCACGACGGTGATGGATCTTCATGTCACGAAGGGCTCCCCTTCGACTGGTCGCCGCGGATCTGCTGTAGCTCCATCAACAGCTCGTCGCGGACCCTGCCCACCCTCGAGGAGAGCAAGCCGTCGAGGGTCGTGGTATTCGTAGACGCCGCGCCCATCCTTCGTCCGCTTCTCCATCGCCGCCGCTCGCCGTCGATCTCGCCACCGCGTCTTATGATGATGTTGGGGAAGCGCCAGGACCGCCGAATCTGATACCAAATGTAAGGGTCGCGATCGATCTATGAAGAGGAACTAGGGTTCATGGCGAAATGGGGAATTCGGTAGCGTGCTTTTCCTTCCAACCTCCCTCACTGCTACAGCTGGATTACAATCGGTCGTAGCCGCCGTCCAAGTCCAAGCCAAGTCAATTTGAATGTTACAGAGTTGTATTTAACTACCGAGTCCACTCTAGGCCACCGTTCCACCCGGGCTTCGTCTTGAAATTGTATTGACTACGTCTTCAAATGTATTGTGTTTATGCGATTATGGGCCATCATGGAAACTGAGGGACTCGAACAATATGGACGTGGCAGTTCAGCTAATTAGGGGGATCTGGGCCATCATGAGGACGGACAGCTCCACCTCCAGGCCCTACTTTTCCATTTGTTCCGAGTCTCTGTACTCGTTTGCAAGCTCTATCCTATAGTCGTTGCTGCCATGTGGTGTGTAAGTGTTAGACCTTTTTACTTGGTTGCCTTGTTTAAGGCATTATTAGTTTAGGGTCGGGGCACATCTTGAGCCTGCGTTCTTAAAGAAGAACTATAGTACTCCCTCCATTCTTAAATGTAAGTCTTTTTAAATATTTCAACAAGTGACTGCATACAAATAAAAAAAAAGTGAATTCACACTCTAATATATGTCTATTTGAAATGTCTAAAAAAATTTATATTTAGAAACGGAGAGAGTAGTTTTTAAACCAAGAAATTACAAAAGTGAGAAAGGTCCCGTGTTTACGTTATTACCCATTCTAAGAAGAAAACAAAAAAACATCTTGCTAGCACCTGCTTCACTTTTTCCCTTTGTACATGAACTTTTAAAAATAAAATAAATTGTGTTGTTGGGAATATCTTTGAAATTAGACATCTAAAAACATGCAAATAGAAAGGAGAGTCATGACAATATAAATGTTACATGAATCAAATTTATGGTGACTTTGAAGAAGTATTTGGATGCTGTGCATCAGAATTGCAGTAATTTTTTGATCAAAGAAAGTTAGGAGAGTGAAATGAATTAGGAATTTCAAAGATTTACTTAGTGAGACTAGAGTCTATGTTTGGCTCCTCCACAAAATGTTCTTGTGCGGGAACAAATTCTTTAATTTTTCTAATCGATAAAGCTAATTTCCTGCCGACTGCTCATTAGCAACAGGCGCGTATGACCTAGCGACCGCTCGATCCTCCTCCCGCGCAACAATCGCTCGATCGTTTTTTTTTCATCTCCCGCGCAACAATCGATCCATTTTTTCCGGTTTCGCGCGTGGAAAGAAAAAAGGCGCTTGCAAGAATCAAACCGGGAACCTGTTGGTTGAGACCATAGCACACTACCAACTGAGCTAACTGTCTCCTCTGATTTTTTATGCAGATTACATGTATTTTATACCTTATTAAATGAGTGGAAAAGAAAAACAACTCGATCCGCTTCTCTCACGTGACAAAACCGGGAGCTTGTGTGTAAATAGCATGGTATTTGACGCATGCGGACCTAGTAAATTATGATGCAAAGACCGTGATAACTTATGGGTAAATAGCACGATTATGCATCGTAGATCTGATAAGTTACATACAAATACCATGGTAATTTTGACCCAGAAAAAATATATTGAAACATATCCCGATAATTTTGTCTAAACAACAGGATATTATACACATCAATTTTGTGTAAATAACACAGTAATTTAGGCACGACCTGATAATATAACAAACACTCGTGGTCACACAATAGAGCCGGTAAGTTTTGACTGGAGAAAAATTTAGTGGAAAAACAAACCCCAGTAACTTTTATGTAAATATGATGGTAATATACACACAATAAAGCCGATAACTCGCATACAAACACTACGGTAATTCTTTTAACCCTAGAATGAAAGTTGTTGAAAACAATACCCCCGGTAATTTTTGTGCAAATATCATGGCAATATAAGCAAAACAAAGACGATAACTCACGTACAAGCACCATGATAACCTTTCTACCCCGAAAAATGTTAAATAATCTAGTCCGGTAACTTGTATGTAAATAACATGATAATATAGACACAATAAAGTTGATAACTCACGTACAAACATTATGGTAACCATTTGACCCGAGGAAAATTATTGAAAAACAATTCTTGGTAAATTCTGTGTAAATAGGATGGTAGTATACACACAACAAAGCTGATAACCCACGTACAAAAACCGTGGCAACTCCTTTGACCCCAGGATAAAAGTTGTTGAAAATCATACCCCGGTAATTTCTGTGCAAATAACATGATAATATACACACAACATAGCTGATAACTTTGATTTTGAAAATTTTCTCTTTGGAGAACATAACTCCGAATAATTATTGTGTAAATGACATGATAATTTATGCACCGCAGCCCTGATAATTTAGATACAAATATGACGGTAATATTTCAACACGAGGGGTGCTTGAAACGTACCCTGATAATTACTATGTAAATAGTATGATAATTTATGTACCGCTGCCATGATAACTTTTGTGTAAATATCATGATTTTTTACAGACTGCAAAGCATAATAATTTTGTACAACACCTATCGTAACTCTGACCCAAGAAAAAATATTTAAAATATTCCCCGGTAACTTATGTATAAAAAGCATCGTAAGTTACGTACCAGAGTGTTGATAACTTTTGTACCCTCAAAAAAAAACTTGTGTACCCTGGCATGCTATTTACAACGAAGTTACCGGGATATGTCAATAATTTTTTCTATGTTAAAATTACCATGATGTTGTAAATATTAACAGAGCAGCCGGGCTATCTATATAGGATAAAAAATATGAAAGGAAAAAAAGAAAAATGGTTCGTTTTCAAGTCGCGCTAAGTAGCAGTACAAATACTATCTAACCTCAATCTAATCATTGGCTCAATCTAGACTGGGTGGTTGCAACTATCTTGGTCTACCAAGAGGTGGTGCGTTCGATTTGCACTTCCGCCAACTCGATTGTTTTTATTGCGCTAGAAGAAAAAAAATGGAGGTGCGGTGGATCGATTCCCACATGGAGAGAAGTCGTCCGGATCTGTCGCTAACGACCAGCAGTAGTTTTCTAATTGGTGTTTTAAAACAAGTCTAAAATTACAATTTAACAAACATTAGGAATTTTAAAGAAAATACTAAGGGCTACAACATGACGCTAAGGTTGAATCATATAGGAAAAATTTCAAAGCATTCGTCATTCGTTTTTACTGCGGTGCTCTCGAATCTCTTGGAATGAATTATTTGTTTTTACTGCGGTGCAATCAAACATACATTGATACAAATTCAATTATGTAGGGTTCAAATGGACATTGTATGACAATTCTGCATTTTCCTCCTATCAATGAAATGATAAGCGGATCTTTTCCGTATTCGCGAAAGGAAAGCAACTCTGCATTTTCTCTCCCTATTTTTATAATCCTTAGAATCATGCGAAACAAAGAAGCATGACATTCGAGTTCATGTTTAGTTCCTTCACGGTGTACTATTTCACGTAAGATTGCAAAATTTTTTCTCAACAATCTATTCCTCCAAAATATATAATACTTCCAAAATGGTTATTTAATACTGTACGTTGTTCCACACCAGTCGTGCAAACGGACGTGAGCGCCCGGCCTGACAGGGAATTCGCATCACGAGAGGGAGCATCGCAGTGCGGCCGCTGCAACCAAAGCACACTAGTCTGTCCGAACGGAGTATATTAAAATGCGGGGTACGCAAAATTCGAGGCACCTGGCCATGACCTTGCCAAGATAGCTCCAATGGCCAGTAGCAGTACCGTAGAAAGTAGAAACGTTCTTTCAAAGTAACTCGCGCGCCATTCGCTACGCTCTGCCCGTGCCAGGCGGCCAGTGCTGACTGGTGAAAAGGGCCCAAATGCAAATACACAATTGCATTCTTCTCGTGTACTCTTCAGGACTCTTGTGAATATTTTTGGCTCGCAACCCCGTGGCCTAGTCTACTGGTTCCACCTTGAATGCAGTAGTAATTTGGGTGTCGTAGATGGACGGTAACGGTGCAGTTATCAGGGTCCTGTTTGTACCCGATGTGCGGTGGCCATTAATCAGATACGTACGAGTTCGTAGTAGTAATGACGAAGGGCCGTAAGCTGCAACTCCTTGGGTAGATTTGGCACAGGGGATGCTGAATTTCTGATGTAGTGATGTGAAGAGGAAGAGGGGAATTCACGCCATGATACTAGTACCAGACAGAGTATTCTTCTGGAACCATGGGCTTGGCAGCTTCCTAGAAAGAAAAACAAGGCAGCTAGCTAGCTTCTTGCTTCACACCAAAGATAACCAAGCATGGACATTGCCACTTCTGCCTCGCATGATTCAAACAGCTTCGAAAAGCTTTCTTCCCGAGACTCCACTAAAAAGGCGCCACTTCTACGGCAATATCCTAACAGACCAAACCTAAAACCGAAAGCTTAGTAGAGTAGTGGTAATCCCTACACCTAACACGACCTAATAGACTCCTACTGAAACTACTTTCTGATAAGTTCTTTCTAGTAGTAGGGCAACAACTAAATAGAGGACGCCAAGAAAAATCCAGGAGGAGTACGTTACAACAGACTAATCAACGACACGGCCGAAAAAGATGTACACTAGCCGCCGCGGGGAGGGGCGGCTAGAACGAGGCGACGGCCGGCGCGGCGGCGGCCTCGATGGCGACGGGGACGGGGTCCTTCTTGCGGCGCATCTCCAGCACCTTGCGGTGGGAGTTGGAGTGCAGGTTGCCCACGAACGTGGGGCTGCACGCCGGCCGGTACTCCGGCAGGAGCCGCCCCGACTTGAAGCGGACGCCGCAGGCGTTGCACAGCGTCTTGGCGCCCTCCGGCCCCGCACGCCACTGGGGCGTCTTCTGGACGCCGCAGTGGCTGCACCGCCGGTCGCCCTGGGCGGGCGGGGAGGCGGCGCCGCCAGACAGCTGCGGCGGGAGATGGCTCTTTGGCTTGCGCCCGCGCTTCTTGAGCTTGTGCTTGGACTTCTTGTTCTTGCTCTTGGTGCGTGGCGGTTCGTCGAGGAGGTTGAAGGTTGGGGAGTCCATCAGGAAGAAGGACGACAGGGAGGCCGACGAGGAGCAGGAGGAGCTGGTGGCGGACGACGACGCCGAGTCGGATATGGACGCGCCGGAGAGCGACCACACGGTGGTGCCCCGCGAGCGCTTGCTGCGCTTCTTGGACCTCACCGGCACCAGCGCTTCCGTGGAAAGCGCGCATATGGTCGGGGTCCGCATAGGGTCCACGGCCGGCACAGCGCTTTCCTGGGGCCGGCGGTGCTGCGGTGGCCACGCCGCTGGCGCTGGGAGCTGAGCCGGCGGCGGGAGCTCTGCCTGCGAGTCGTCCATGATACGCGACACCCACTCCAGTTCCTCCGCGTCGTGGGCCTACACAGAAAGCACGCAAAAGAAATGAATAACGCTGGAAACCTAAAATAGCGCCGTCTGGCCGGAAAAAGGGAGAGAAATAAGGTCAAACGTCTTACCGGCAGGTCCATCTCCGGCGGAATAAGCGGCATGAGCTCGTAGGAGACCGCCGACGACCCGTGGGAGTCACTGCACTTTTCCTCCTCCTCGGCCGCCGGCGCCGTCTCGCAGAGAAAGCCGCCGTCCTTATCCACCTCGCAGAGCTCCTCAAGGTCGAGGAGCTCCTCCACCGAGAAGCCGTCACCCAGCAGCCCGGCTCCCCACGCCGCCGGCCCAGCGACCACGGCGGCCGCCACCTCCTCGGCTGCCTCGCACGGCCTGAGGCTACTCCTCAGCGCGGACATCCTCTCCACCTGAAACCGCACCCACAGAAAGAGCAAACTCTCGTCAGTTCCCGCACGAGAACCACTTCTCTCTTGCTAGAAACCGTCTCACACACACACACATACACACGTCTCAGCACAGAGAGACTATGTATGCTTACCTGCAGGGAGCCGTGGTGGTGTGCGAACGACGACGACGACATGGCGGAGGCGGCCGGAGAGGAGGAGGGGGAAAGGGTAGGGAGGGAGGCGTGGAGGAGGTGAGGAGCAGAGGAAAAGGCAGCAGCGGCAGGGGCGGAAGAGATGAGTGTCTGGTGGGTCATTGAATGGCTGCCAAAGTCCGTGTCCGCAACAAATGCACTGTTGCGTTGTTTTCCCCCCTCCCTTTTTCTCCCGCTTTGCTCTCCCTCAATCACGTTGCTCCACTCCATTTCTTTTTCCTGTCAAGAAAAATAATAGTACCAGCCAATAGTCACATATATATATTCTTACTCCATTCGTTACTATGCTTTTGGATGCTAGTTCCCGGATGAATATATGCTAAAAAAATATTTCCTCTGTTTCATAATGTAAGACGTTTTCTCACGTTGATGTACTGTCAAAAAACTCTTACATCATGAGACGCAGGGAGTATATATGTACAACTTATGATGGTCTATTAATAAAATATTTAGCTGATAGATGTAATGATACCATTTCACCACTTGACCTGAGTACTAGCTAGTAACAGACACAGGTCACCTTAATAAACGTGTTGCCGAGCATCTCTAAGCTTGACTCACGCCGATACTGCCACTACTTATTTGTATTGGTCTATTTTAAGTGGAGTGATTCTTTCTCTTTTTTTGCGGGAAGAGGGGTGATAATTTGACCCTCTTATCTGACAGTCTCCTTTCCGAAAATACATGTACTCCCCGAAATGAGCGAATCTGGAACAGATTCGCGCACTGCGCGCGGCAGCAGTTTATTCGCCGGGGCAATTTGTGTGATTATATTATTTTGCTTGCAACTTTTGCGTCGGTGAGTAAGCCGGTGGGGGCGATTGATTACTACGGGTTGCACAGGGGCCGGTGTGGACTCGTGATGGGCCTGCGGGTTCCTTTCCCTCTGTTCCTTCGGAGGAAATGCTGTTGCGAAAATCTGAGTTTGTTTGCTTCAGGCGGGCAATAACAATCATGTCAAGCAATGCCGTTGTCGATTGTTGTTTTAGATAGCTACCCGCTTGTTCCAAGCGGTAAGCAATGCTGTTGTGGTGCAAGCATGTTCGGTGTTTATTTGTTGCCATTGTGGTGCAAGCAGCATGCATCGCGTGTGGAATAAATGAAATCACAAATTTGCCTTGCCAAATCGGGTCGACAAACCTTCTACTCCATATTTGGCCGAGTTGTGATCTGTTTGGCTTGTAGGGATTTAGAACCGTCTATCAAAGTGTATCAGGGTGTACCAAAACACATGAGTGCGCCAAATAGTGTAAACGTAAGATTGCAATGTCATGGCCACTTAAATGTTGTCGTAGTGGATTTGCACCAAAATTTGTTTGTTGCGCCATGAAAAAAGACGGATCTTAACAAGAGCTTTGAGTCAATGAAACCTGTCCTATAATTATAGTGTAGTAGAGTCATGCAGAAAAACTCTTATAGAATACAATGCTACACAAATCAAACAAATTATCAAGAGAAAATCATAATGCTGGTATCCTCTGAAATTACTATCCTAAATGTTAAAAATCTAACGTCAGATTTTTAGATGCGAATCAAAGAGCATCTACATGATCTCCTCAAAGATCTCACAAGATATGAATGTTGCGTGTGATGCACTTGGATAGTGCATTAGAAATAAACACATTGTTTTTTTGGAGGAATAAAGGGAGATAACGTAGACAAAGATGGGGTGCATTGGATCGCTACAAAATGAGGCTTGAAACACATGGAGGGAAAATTCATAAAGATATTAATCCTACAAACCATTAATAAAAGACTACTATCCAGATGGCCTTCCTGCAAGAATTTTTTCAGTGGAACTGGGGACTATTCAAAGGGTTTTTTTGCAAGAAAAGTTTCAATCTATTCATCTTCAACCATGACAATACAACGAACACCCGAAAAAAATAAAAATTACATCCAGATCAGTAGACCCTACCAACGACTACAAGCACTAAAGCGAACCGAAGGCACACCGCCGTCATCGCCCCTCCGTCGCTGGACCCGGACAAAACTTCTTGTAGTAGATAGTCGGTAAGTCGTCGTGCTAAGGCCCCATAGGACAAGCGCACCAGACCAGCAACCGCTCCGATGGAAAGATGTGTAGATCGGAAGGATCCACCCTAAAGACACACAGAAGTAGATGAATGAAGACCGAATCTGAGTAGATCCACAAAAGACAAGCACCGACTGGATCCCGCGAGATCCACCGAAGACACCTCCACACGCCCTCCAACGGTGCTATGCACCACCGGAACGGGGCTAGGCGAAGAGAACCTTATTCCATCTTTAGGGAGCCACCTCCGTCTCGCCTTCCTAAGCCGAACACAAACTCTAACAAAACTTGAAAAAACATCTAAAAATGGACCCCTCCAGTCGGCAAGACCAGGATCCACCACACATCCATGGCCCTAGGGCCATCGGAGACAAGGTGGACCGGCGGCGCCGCCAGCAGGACCGCAGGAGGCAGAGGACCTAGGCTAATTTCCAGAGGTGACGACGGCTGGGCACTTCCGAGGTGGATATCTTGAATAGCAAGTTGATACGTACGTTAGATGTATAGGATTGGATTTCTTTTCTCAAAGAGGATATTATTCCTGCAGTGAAAAATATTTTCGCCACTGGTATACTGCTGAATGGGGTAAATGATACGATTATTGTTCTTATTCCAAAGGTGAATAAACCCCAGTGTATTAAATATTTCCTTCCTATCATCCTATGTAGTGTTATTTATAAAATTATTTCGAAGTGCCTTGTGAACAAGCTGAGACCGCTTCTTGATGGTATGATCTCCCAACCCAAAGTGCTTTTATTCCCGGGAGATTAATTTCTAATAATGCTCTTATAGTTTTTGAATGTGTACATTCTTTAAGTATGCTTGAGGATAGTCGGGGTGAATTTTGTGCTTATACATTGGATTTAGCCAAAGCGTATGATTTGGTGGATTGCCACTTTTCAAAAAGGATGCTCGGGGCTTTGGGTTTTGTAGCAGGTTGGATAAACTCGATTATGTCTTGTGTTACCTCAGTCAAATCATCAGTGCGCTTAATGGTGTAGCTCTTGGAATCGTTCTACCCTTCTCGTGGTATCAGGAAAGGGGATCCTTTATCTCCATATTTATTCATTTTTGTGGCAGAGGATCTTTCTTTGTTACTATAAGATGCATGTGCTAACGGAGCTCTTCAAGTTTTCAAGGTGAATAGGCATACTCCAGGTAATTCTCATCTTTTGTTTGGTGATGACTGCTTGTTGTGTTTCAAGGGGTCCATTAATCAAGCAATGTATTAAAAATATTCTTTCAACTTATGAGAAGGGGACTGGCCAGTTACTGAGCCCAGATAAATGCTCTATTATGTTGAGGAAGAAGTGTAGCATGGAAGATCAAGTGGCTTCCATGGTAATCATGCGCATTATTGCCGATGGTTTTCAAGATAAATATCTTGGGCTTCCAGTGCCACAAGATAGAATGAAGGCTGGTAAATTTCAATCTACTAAAGAAAAGGTTGTTAGAATATTATCGGATTGGATAGAAAAATATGCGTCTAGTAGGGAAAAGGAAACTTTGATCAAATTAGTTCATCAGGCTCTTCCGATTTATCCCATGGGTATCTTTAAATTCCCGGGATCACTTTGTGAGGATCTATCTCAGATTATAAGGAATTTTTGGAGGGGTGACAAGGAGGATAGGAGGAAAACTCATTGGTTGGCTTGGGGTAAATTGACAGGGCCCAAAGGTGAGGGGGTATGGGTTTTCGTGTGTTGGGGAACACAGTATTTCAAAAAATTTCCTATGATCACGCAAAGTCTATCTAGGAGATGCATAACAACGAGAGGGGAGAGTGTGTCTACGTACCCTCGTAGACCAAAAGCGGAAGCATTTAGTAATGCGGTTGATGTAGTCGAACGTCTTCGCGATCCAACCGATCCAAGTACCGAACGCATGGCACCTCCGCGATCTGCACACGTTCAGCTCGGTGACGTCCCTCGAACTCTTGATCCAGTTGAGGCCAAGGGAGAGTTTCATCGGCACGACGGCGTGGTGACGGTAATGATGAAGTTACCGATACAGGGCTTCGCCTAAGCACTACGACAATATGACCGAGGTGGAAAACTGTGGAGGGGGCACCGCACACGGCTAAGACTAATCTTGTGTATCTATGGGGTGCCCCCTCCCCCATATATAAAGGAGGGGAGGAGGAGGAGGGACGGCCTCAAGGGGCATGCCCAAAGGGGGGATTCCTACTCCTAGTAGGAGTAGGTTTCCCCCTTTCCTAGTCCATGTAGGAGAAGAAGGAAGGAGAGGAGAGGGAGAAGGAAAGAGGGGGGCGCCGCCCCCTCCTTAGTCCAATTCGGACCAGCCCATGGGGGGGGGCGTGCAGCCACCCCTTGAGGCCCTTCTCTCCTTTCCCGTATGTCCCATTAAGGCCCACTACTTCCTCCAGCGAATTCCCGTAACTCTCCGGTACTCCGAAAAATACCCGAATCACTTGAAACCTTTCCGATGTCTGAAGCCTTCCAATATATCGATCTTTATGTCTTGACCATTTCGAGACTCCTCGTCATGTCCGTGAACTCATCCGGGACTCCGAACAACCTTCAAACTCATAATACAAATCGTCATCGAACGTTAAGCGTGCGGACCCTATGGGTTCGAGAACTATGTAGACATGACCGAGACACATTTCCGGTCAATAACCAATAGCGGAACCTGGATGCTCATATTGGCTCCTACATATTCTACGAAGATCTTTTATCGATCAAACCGTATAACAACATACGTTGTTCCCTTTGTCATCGGTATGCTACTTGCCCGAGATTCGATCATCGGTATCATCATACCTAGTTCAATCTCGTTACCGTCAAGTCTCTTTACTCATTCCGTTGCATTATCCCGCAACTAAATCATTAGTCACATTGCTTTCAAGGCTTATAGTGATGTGCATTACCGAGAGGGCCCAGAGATACCTCTCCGACAATCGGAGTGACAAATCCTAATCTCGATCTATGCCAATTCAACAAACACCATTGGAGACACCTGTAGAGCATCTTTATAATCATCCAGTTACGTTGTGACGTTTGATAGCACACTAAGTGTTCCTCCGGTATTCGGGAGTTGCATAATCTCATAGTCATAGGAACATGTATAAGTCATGAAGAAAGCAATAGCAATAAACTAAACGATCATAGTGCTAAGCTAACGGATGGGTCTAGTCCATCACATCATTCTCTAATGTGTGACCCCGTTCATCAAATGACAACACATGTCCATGGCTAGGAAACTTAACCATCTTTGATTAACGAGCTAGTCAAGTAGAGGCATACTAGGGACACTCTGTTTGTCTGTGTATTCACACATGTATTAAGTTTCCGGTTAATACAATTCTAGCATGAATAATAAACATTTATCATGATATAAGGAAATAAATAATAACTTTATTATTGCCTCTAGGGCATATTTCCTTCACCATGATGTAAGATTATTTAATCAAGCTCTTCTGGCTAAGCAGTCTTGGAGATCGCCCCATAATTCTTATGCATCAAGGTGACGAAGGGAAAATATTATCCCAGGGGCATATCTTTGACACTGTTTATCCTCAGCATTGCTCACTTGGCAAGGTATCTTAGATGGATTGGATCTGCTTAAATTCTGATACGTCCATTTTGCATCATGATTTTATATCGATATTTATTGCATTATGGGCTATTATTACACATTATGTCACGATACTTATGCCTATTCTCTCTTATTTTACAAGGTTTAAATAAAGAGGGAGAATGCCGGCAGCTTGGATTCTGGGCTGGAAAAGGAGCAAATATTAGAGACCCTGCACAACTCCAAAAGTCCTGAAACTTCACGGAAGTCAATTTCAGAATATATAATAAATATTGAGCGCAAGAAGTTCACCAGGGGGGCACACCCTGCCCACGAGGGTGGGGGCGCGCCCTACCCCCTGGGCGCGCCCCCTACCTCGTGGGCCCCCTGGTGGCCCTCGGTGGCCATCTTCTGCTATATGAAATCTTTCGATGGGAAAAAAAGAATAAGCCATCTTCTCAGACGAAACTCCGCCGCCACGAGGCGGAACCTTGGCGGAACCAATCTAGGGCTCTGGCGGAGCTGTTCTGCCGGGGAAACTTCCCTCCCAGAGGGGGAAATCATCGCCATCATCATCACCAACGCTCCTCTCATCGGGAGAGGGCAATGTCCATCAACATCTTCATCAACACCATCTCCTCTCAAAACCCTAGTTCATCTCTTGTATCCAATTCTTGTCTCCAAGTCCGGGATTGGTGCTAGTAGGTTGCTAGTAGTGTTAATTACTCCTTGTAGTTGACGTTAGTTGGTTTTATTTGGTGGAAGGTCATATGTTCAGATCCTATATGCATATTAATACCCCTCTGATTATGAACATGTTTATACTTTGTGAGTAGTTATGTTTGTTCCTGAGGACATGGGAGAAGTCTTGCTATTAGTAGTCATGTGAATTTGGTATTCGTTCGATATTTTGATGAGATGTATGTTGTCTCTCCTCTAGTGGTGTTATGTGAACATCACTACATGACACTTCACCATTATTTGGGCCTAGAGGAAGGCATTGGGAAGTAATAAGTAGATGATGGGTTGCTACAGTGACAGAAGCTTAAACCCTAGTTTATGCGTTGCTTCATAAGGGGCTGATTTGGATCCATATGTTTCATGCTATGGTTAGGTTTACCTTAATACTTTTGTTGTAGTTGCGGATGCTTGCAATAGAGGTTAATCATAAGTGGGATGCTTGTCCAAGTAAGGACAACACCCAAGCACCGGTCCACCCACATACCAAATTATCAAAGTACCGAACGCGAATCATATGAGCGTGATGAAAACTAGCTTGATGATATTCCCATGTGTCCTCGGGGGCGCTTTTCTCTATAAGAGTTTGTCCAGGCTTGTCCTTTGATACAAAAAGGATTGGGCCACCTTGCTGCACTTTATTTACTTTTGTTACTTGTTGCTCGTTACAAATTATCCTATCACAAAACTATCTGTTACCACTTTTTTCAGTACTTGCAGAGAATACGTTGCTGGAAACCGCTTATCATTTCCTTCTGCTCCTCGTTGGGTTTGACACTCTTACTTATCGAAAGGACTACGATAGATCCCCTATACTTGTGGGTCATCAAGACTCTTTTCTGGCGCCGTTGCCAGGGAGTGAAGCGCCTTTGGTAGCTGGAATTTGGTAAGGAAAAAATTTATATAGTGTGCTGAAATTTACTGTCACTTGTTACTATGGAAAGTAATCCTCTGAGGGGCTTGTTAGGGGTATCTTCATCCCGACCAGTAGAGCAAAGAGTTGCTCCTCAACCTACTGAACCTACTGAAAATGAAAATGTCTGCTTTGAAATTCCTTCGGGTATGATAGAAAAACTGCTAGCTAATCCCTTTTTAGGAGATGGAACAAAACATCCTGATGAGCATCTAATATATGTGGATGAAGTTTGTGGATTATTTAAGCTTGCAGGTGTACCCGGAGATGTTGTTAAGAAGAAGGTCTTCCCTTTATCTTTGAAGGGAGATGCATCGACATGGTATAGGCTATGTGATGATATGGGGTCATGGAACTACAAACGATTGAAATTGGAATTTCATCAGAAGTTTTATCCTATGCATCTAGTTCATCATGATCGCAATTATATATATAATTTTTGGCCTCGCGAAGGAGAAAGCATCGCTCAAGCGTGGGGGAGGCTTAAATCAATGTTATATTCATGCCCCAATCATGAGCTCTCAAGAGAAATGATTATTCAAAATTTTTATGCTCGACTTTCTGATAACAATCGCACCATGCTTGATACTTCTTGTGCTGGCTCTTTTATGATGAAGACTATTGAATTCAAATGGGATTTATTGGAAAGAATTAAACACAACTCTGAAGATTGGGACCTCGATAAAGGTAAGGAGTCAGGTATGACACCTAGGTTTGATTGTGTTAAATATTTTATGGATACCGATGTTTTCCATAAATTTAGCACTAAATATGGACTTGACTCTGAGATAGTAGCTTCTTTCTGTGAATCTTTTGCTACTTATGTTGATCTCCCCAAGGAGAAGTGGTTTAAATACCATCCTCCCATAGAAGTAAAAGTTGATGCACCTATTAAAGTTGAAGAAAAGATTGTCACTTATAATGATCCTATTGTTCCTACTTCTTATGTTGAGAAACCACCTTTTCCTGTTACGATAAAGGATCATGCTAAAGCTTCAACTGTGGTTCGTAAAAGCAATATTAAAACTTATACACCTCATGAGCAAATTAAAGTTGAACCTGATATTGCTATTGTTAAAGATCTCTTGTCTGATAATATTGATGGGCATGTTATTCATTTCCCTGATGTGATTACTAGAATTGCTAAACCTTGTGCTAAAGATAAAAACAGACATGTGGTAGGCATGCGTGTTATTTCTGTTCAGATAGGAGATCATTGTTATCATAGCTTATGTGATATGGGTGCTAGTGCTAGCGCAATACCTTATTCCTTATACAAAGAAATTATGCATGATATTGCACCTGCTGAGATAGAAGATATTGATGTCACAATTAAACTTCCCAATAGAGATACTATTTCACCAATGGGAATTGTTAGAGATGTTGAAGCCTTGTGTGGGAAAACAAAATATCCTGCTGATTTTCTTTGTTCTTGGTTCCCCACAAGATAGCTTTTGTCCCATTATATTTGGTAGAACCTTCCTGAACATTGTTAATGCTACCATAGATTGCAAAAGGGATGTTGTTACTATCGGTTTAGATGATATGACTCATGAATTTAATTTCTCTAAATTTAGTAGACAACACCGTGAAGAAGAATTACCTAGTAAGGATGAAATTATTGGTCTTTCTTCTATTGCCGTACCTCCTAGTGATCCTTTAGAACAATATTTGCTAGACCATGAAAATGATATGTTTATGAATGAAACAAGGGAAATAGACGAAGTATTCTTTAAACGGGAACCTATTCTGAAAAACAATTTTCCTGTTGAAATCCTAG